CCCCAAAACCCCAAAACCCCAAAACCCCAAAACCCCAAAACCCCACTATATTTGTCTAAGTTGGATATTAGGAATAATTTTGATAAATGGAATCTTCTACTCCGATTTGGCATAAGCATAAGGAAATACTAACTGAAGCTGGAATTGATTTTGATGATATTGAGAAGACCAGAAAACACATCCATCAGAATGCTGAAGGAGAATTCAAAGAATTCAACACCAAAGCCAAGATTCTCGAGTACTTTACTGATGTGGATAAAGATGATATCAAAGAGCTAGCCACCACTGGGCTCACCATCGACATCAAAGGGACTGCTCCTCCCACTGAAGAAGGCGAGTGCAATGTCATTGCTCTCAGAGCCGACATGGACGGCCTACCCATGAAGGAAGAAACTGGCCTTGACTATGCCTCGGTCACCGAGTACGCCCACATGTGTGGCCATGACGGACACATGGCAATCCTGATAACGACAGGGTTGTTTCTGAAGAACCACAGAGACAAGATTCCATCGAACAAGACAGTGAGGCTGTTGTTTCAGCCAGCTGAGGAAGGGCCAGGAGGAGCTGAGCCAATGATAAAGGAAGGGTGCCTTGAAGGGGTTGATGAAATCTATGGATACCATAGCAGCCCATTCGGACCTGAATGATCTATTACTGCTTGAGAAGGAGCTATATTAGCAGGGATTGTTATAGTTGAAATTGAGGTAGAAGGCAAAGGTGGTCATGGGTCTGAGCCTGCCAACTCTATTGATCCAATCACTGCTGCAGTGAGTATCCACAATGCTTTTCACACAATTAAATCAAGAAATACATTTAATACTGACAAAGTCTCATTCACAATATGCTCGTTTAGCTCAGGATCTGTATGCAATGTTATCCCAAGAGTGGCTAAGATGACAGGATCAGTTAGATATTTTGACGAAAGTGTCAAGGATAAACTTTGAGAAAGGATCACAAATATCACAGAAAGCATTAGTGAAGCATTTAACTGTAAAGGAGTTGCCAATTTGAAACCTCTGTATCCAGCTACAATTAATCATAAGAAACAGACAAATGCATTTTTGGATATAGCTAGAAAGGAATTAGGATATGAAAATGTCGAGACTGAAAAGAACTTGCCAGTTCCTGGTAGTGAAGACTTCTCTTATTATCTACAGAAAGCACCAGGAGCTTTTATTTTCTTAAACAACGTCAAGGAAGGACATGAGCCAATCCAGATGCACTCATCAAAGGTAGATTTCAACGATAACACTACTCCCACTGGAGTATATCTTTACATTAAGATGCTCGAGAGTAGACTGGGGATGTCCCTCCTTTAATATCCAATTTCAATCACCCTTATGTGATACGGGGTTTTGGGGTTTTGGGGTTTTGGGGTTTTGGGG